AAATAAATGAAAAGTTGTAAAAAAAAAAAAAAAAAGATAAAGAATCATGAACCAGGAATAACTCAGTCACCTGAGTTATTTCTAATTTCTAGTTATGCTTTTTAGCTGTGAAAGTAATAGTTGCTTGTTGTCACAAAGCAAACAATATGAAGATATAATAATCACTATTCCCTATAGACATACATTCATATGGTGGCATAGTGGGCTATCCATTGAGCTGCTAAACACAAGGGCTGCAGTTCAAACCCATCAGCTGTTCTGCAGGAGAAAGCTAAGGCTGCTCAGTCCTCTCAAGATTTAAAGTCTCAGACACGCAAAAGGTGCAGTTCTACTAGTTGAGAGGATCACTTTGAGTGAGAACTGACTTGATGGCAGTGAGCATATGAAGGAGCTTCAAGAAGTTCATGAAAAAAAAATCCATAATCCTTTAATCTTGTTTCCAATGAACTTTTTGAGGACCTCTCATTTATGCAAACACCCTCCTGCAGTAAAAAGCAGTGTTTACAGCCTTGCATGTATCCTGTATGCGTTCCCAGATTCTAACGCAAACATATTTAGATATGGGCTCATACATTATTTTACTTGTTAGTGTGCAATGTATTTTTTACTGCAACAATATATGAAAATACAAATGTGTAACAATTTTTGAACTTCAAAATGGACAATTTCATATTGTTCAGATTAATAGCAGGTTTATGAGGGCTCTTCAAAAGATTGGGGGAACAATTCTATTTCTTTCAGTTTCCTTTCCCCCCAGACTTTTTGAAGCTCCATCTCCTATTGATGTAGATCTTTTTTTTTTTTCTATTTAAAAAGTCATCAACATAGGAACTAGAAACACAGGGAATACAGGGTGCATGATCCTTTCAGGACCAGTGGTGAGAGTGGCGATACTGGGAGGGTGGAGAGATGGTGGGGTGGAAAGGGGGAACTGATCACAAGGATCTACATCTAACTTCCTCCCTGGGGGACAGAGAACAGAAAGTGTGTAAAGGGAGACGTCGGGCAGTGTAAGATATGACAAAATAATAATAATAATATATAAATTATCAAGGGTTCATGAGGGAAGGGGTGAGGGGAGGGAAGAGAAAAATGAGGAGCTGATACCAAGGGCTCAAGTAGAAGGCAAATGTTTTGAGAATGATGATAGCAACAAATGTACAAATGTGCCTGACACACAGAATGTATATATGGAGTGTGATAAGCGGTCTACGAGCCCCCAATAAAATGATTTTTTTTTAAAGGGAAAAAAAGCCCAAAAATTGACATTTAAAAAATCCTATTACCGTCTCATGAGTCAATGTCCACTCATCATGAACTGTCTCAGAGGGTGTCTGGGACAGGTATGTATCAACTTGGCTGGGTCAGGCTTCTCCAATGACGGGGAGAGGAGATCCATAATGTGCTCTT